CGAGTTCGAATAGTGGAGTGATCGTGGAGTGCGTTTTTTTTTCTGCTCACATGTCTGTCCCCAGGATCTGAACGCTTGGAGCAGGCTAATTAACAATTATTCCTCGAGCCCGAATGGGCCCTGAGTCAATAGCCCATGAGGCTGAAAAAGCCCCCGCTTTTCGCTACTAGTGGGCTATAACATATAGCCTAGTAGTAGCTCAACCAATCAGAATGCAGTATTGATAATAGACCACTAATTGGATTTTACTAATATAACGTAGACCTGGCGTGCACTAGTTTTCATTCAAAGAGCGAAACAGAAATGGACTAAATAAAGTGATAGTTAGTTATTGCGATCGTGAAATGTTCAGCGTCCCGTATAGTAATTTATCACACCTTTCATTAAGTAGTACATTGCTCAATTTTTCTTCCGTTTAGCTGTTTCCTACCACAATTATATACGTTTTTTAAAGGTCAAGTAACCTTCAGTCGTCTAGTTGCCATCTGAGACGGGTATAGATACATGCAAAACTTTGCACTGAATCGTACATGGGATTTTAAAGCATCTTTAAAACGTCTTTGAAGCTTAAATTGCTCTCACAACTAAAACATTCAGTCCCTGCTCAGCCTCAAGTCAATGTTAGCTGTTCTCAGGATAATCCTGCGATTGTCTAGTACCTATTTTGGGGAAAGTACACTTGTCACCAGAAACCAAATTCAACTGTGCTTGTCCTTGTGTAGGCCCGAGCTTGTGGCTCGATATTTCTCTGCGTTGTCTACTTCTCATGTACACGTTCCTTGCTCTTGAGAGACCTGGAAAACCACAATGCAATTCCCGCGTTAATAAGCATAACTATCACGGCTGCGCCAACGGTGTTGATGAAAGATGCGTCAGCGGTTGTGTCTGCCCATGCGCCTTCCCGCTGTCTCCAGGTCCTCTTATGCTTGATATCAAATTCAAAAAGTTTGAGGCCAAATTCTGTGCTCAAGGCAACAAAGACATGCATAAAATGATGACTGTTACCGACCAGATCAAATCGTCCTGGGAGAAGGCGTTCCGGTAACCTGGTACTGTACATAAGACCTGCTACAACAGTGCAAAAGGCGTGACGGAAATAGTAACCAACAGATGCGCTGTTGCATGCAGAGAAGGCCACGCATGACGTGCTACTATTAGCGTGACAACTACAGAGTGTCACGCCAACTATAAATGGTAAGGTGCAGTTCAACCAAGCTACAAGACAGGAGATTGTACGGAGGAGGTTACCGTATTTAAATACTTTGTTTCCAGTCTTGCAGGTGCTATATGTCGCGATGAAGGAAAGAGTTGCCGCTAAAGACATGTATACAGAGGGTATCTCAAAGATGATCCAGTTGGTGTTTGTTGGACGAGTGTAAAAGAACACGGCCTGAGCCGATGTGAAAGTATACAGGCT